AGCAGAGGGATGTGCATACATTTGGCTCTAGTGTTTCTGTACTTAAGTTTTAGCAAATGCAAGCTGTATTTAAATTATAACTATGTGCCCCGAACTGCTCCTTTTTTGACTACCATATACCTCCTTTTGGCTGTTAAATTCTGAATGCATTCCTTATCACAGCTAACACAGGCCAGCATGGTAACTGAGAAGAGTGTTATGCAATAAATAACCTTTGACTGGAATTAAAGGCTCAGAGCAGCTACACAACATACTTATTTATTTGTTTAGAAATCTATAGTGTCACCTGTCTCTAAAGCAACTCAGTGCTATACATCAGTAAAAGCACTCAATAGTCAATCAACAGGCTAACAGCACACCTGCTTGTAAACAAACCACATACCTTATTATCAAGTTCAGTGACAAGTCTGGCTAAACAAAGAGCTTGTGCTGTACCCTGCCGCTTGCCAAACACAGCTTCAGATGGACTGCCAGCCTGAGTAGGTCTCTGAGACTACTGTGACTAGAACTGGCTGTAAGAGTGATCTGGCAGACCCTTACTCCCAGAATGCAATATTGGGGCAGAAATGGTCTCTCAGATAGCTGGGTCACAGATCACTTTGGGTTTTAACTGACACTTGCACCAGGTACTGAATACTTAGTGCAGATCACTGAGGGCTGGTATAATGCCCTTAAATGTTTGCTGCACTCAAGATGAGTAGCTTTATGTGTTTGGGTCCTTTTCAAATGTTGCTCTATGCATAGTGCATGGTAGGAGTTTAGCCCAAAGTTACAAGTTACAAAGCTCAGTGAGCAGGCCTGTGCTGAGGAGGAACAACAGGGATAACCCTAGATGAAAATAGCACTGTCACTGGTTTTTTTTTTTAGATTCTCGGGTGGCAACTGTGCAAAATAAGATCTAAAGTGATTAAGAAGACTGCAGCCACACCACCACTATCTAGACAGACACTCTGTCCCTAGCCTCTGTTTGTCAGGGCTGAAAATGGATAACAGGATGGATCACTTGATAATTACATGTTGTGTTCATTCCCTCTGGGGCACCTGGCATTAGCCACTGTCAGAAAACAGGATACTGGGATAGAAGGATCTTTGCTCTGACCCAGTATGGCTGTTCTTATGTAATCGCAACTGACACTATACCTTCCCTCTGGTTTCTAGATGAACATTGGGCAGCTTGAGAATAGAAGTAATAACGGGCCTGGCCTGCTAATGTCACTGTACGCTGTGTAAACAGGGCAAAGGGGCCAGAGGAAGCTAATGGAGATTTCTTTCTTCACAGAGAAACTCCCCACTGATGGCAGGCTGGTGAATCTGGCTCCTGTATAAGGAGATAGAAGTAGGTGTGCACTGGTGTGGGGAAGGACTGGGATGACAAGGAAGTGGGGGTATGGCAGAGTAGTTAACTGCTGCTTCCTTACACCAGAGCTGGGTGACTAAAGATAAGGGAGCTTAAACTGGTTCTCAGATACTTGATTTTCCATTGTATGTAGTAACTTGACAATTAGGTTTCTAGCATTCTGCAGTATGTGGGATGTATCTGAATGTACCACTTTTTTTTGGCAGAGCCTTGCTGCTATGCCATGACTCAGTGTGGGGGCTGGTTTGTTTTTTGTTTGTTTGTTTTTTAAACCAGTTATGTGCCTTTCACTTCTCTAAGAAGCAGGTCACAGGCCATAAAGTGCTGCAGTCCCCTCTCATTTCACAGAAGTAATTTCCTTTCCCTTGAGTTCTCCCATGCGTGGTGTTTTGAAGCAGCTGAAGTGAAGAATGTTTTTAAATCTGTTGGTTAGTTGTACTGAGCTAGACATGGAGTTCTTATTATATGAAGAATATTGGATCAGATTTTCAAGTGGTACAGTTCCATTCACTTCTCTTGCCCCATGCTCCTTTACATTGCTGCAGCATCACTGGCTACAAGGGGATTCTCAAGGCCTAAAGGGAAGTCTGGTTGCTTCCAGGATGAGCAGGGAGGGCATGACAAGAGACACAGATGGAGATGGGACTTGAGCCCTTCACCCTGCAATCCCCAGGCAAATGTCCTATCCACTAGGCCAGTCCAGAACCCATCCTACCTCCCTACCTTCAGGACATCCTTTATCCTGCTTTTCTAATACCGGCGCCGTCTCCATCCCAGGGGAAACAGGCCACCCTGGTACCAGATCAGGAGTGTGCAATAATTTTTGAGCAGAGGCCACTTCAATAATTTTTGAAGTGGTTACAGGCCACCCCAGAAGGGGGCGTGCCACGGAAGAAAGGGGTGGAGCCTGGGATGGAAGGCGCAAGCCCTTTAACTAGAAACAGTTGAAAGGGCTCACATGTCCCTGGCTCGCAGACAGCGGGCTATCATGGGTCCAGAGTTGCAAGCTCTTTCAATTGCTTCAATTTAAAGGGCTTGTGCCTGCCAGGCGGCTGCCAGGTAATGCAGCTGCCTGGGAGGCATGAGTCCTTTAAATAGAAACTGTTAAAAGGGCTCGCAGCTCCGGTGTGGCTAGCATGTTGCCAGGGAGCTGGGACTTGCAAGCCCTTTCAACTGCTTCTATTTAAAGGTCTCATGCCTTCCCCATGCCTGTCAGGCAACACGTTGCCTGGCAGCTGCGGAAAAGGCACAAGCCCTTTAAACAGAAGCAGTTAAAAGTGCTCGTGCATGGTTCCCAGGGAATGTGCTAGCAGCATGGCAGGAGCTGTGAACACTTTTAACTGCTTCTATTTAAAGGACTTGGGAGAGCCCTTTAAATAGAAACAGTTAAAAGGGCTTGCAGCTCCGGCGCCGCTAGCACATTGATGGGGAGCTGGAGATGTACAAGCCCTTTCAACTGCTAGAAGTGCCCTGCCAGGCAACGGGGAAGGCGCGAGCCCTTTAAATAGAAGCAGTTGAAAGGGCTCACATAGCTTCATCCACCTGGAAATGTGCTAGGAGGCAGAGCCTGGAACAGCTGTGTGGGCTGGATCCAACCCGTTGAGTGGCTTTTGCCCACCCCTGTGCCAGATGGAGGGGATATGTCAGTGCATGGCTAAGAGACAAGGGGCATAAAGCCAGAGCATCACTGTGCTCCAGTGATCCCTGAGTGCCAGTAAGGTCCTTGGAGGGGGGAGGAATGTCACAGACAGATAAAGCTCAGAGCAGCTCTGATACCCATTTGCTTGAGTTAAGAGAGGTGGTAGCTGAGGGTGCCAAAATGAGCAGATGATTGAGGAGTTGAAGAGGTCCGTTGACTAAGGCCTAATTTAACTTGTACATGTTGAGCATCACACAGTTTCAGGTTTCAAAGGAAAGGTTCAAACACTTTTACTAGAGAAATTATTGGCTTTAGCACCACAAATCTAGATCATGAGGGTCTGAAAATCCAGTCCCACACACTTGTCTACTCAGTGAGTCTACCCAGTTATATTTTGCTTTCAGAAAATGAATTACTGTAAAGATTATAAATTATTTTCTGGATCTTCAGTGCATAGCTTCAAAAACTAGCATCAAACATTTCTGGATGATACTCCTTGTTTAGGCAACAGACAGCAGTCATACTTCAATTCAGATCTGACACATATTGCCTTTGATACATGTGGAAAGAGTCATGCTTTATTTATTGCCAGGAGCTGTAGCATGTTTATATGTAGCTGTCCCATTGCTATGCGTTGGTTTCTAAGAATTTACCATCCTTCAAAAAGCAGAGTTTGTCAGGATTATTTGTAGCTGAAAGAACATTGTTTTTTTAAAACAGCCTTTAGTCATATTAGAGTATGACCTTTACTATGCTAGTCTGAAGTGAAGTTGTGTAGATATTTAATTCCTTCAAGTCAGAAAGTGATGTTTCATACTGACCTCGGACATGCTTTCTATTTTAACACTGTTTTACTAAGTGAAAGTGACTTCTTAATTACATAATAATAGCAATTATGTAATGCATTTCACCTTCAAGCGGCTATACAAATATTAACTAACCTAATACACTATTAGCAATTAAAAGATAAATTGAGAAATGGAGTATGGCACAGAAGAAAATCTGTACAGCACAAACAAGTTAGGACCATTATGATGACACAGACAGTGATAATATAGGGTCAAATCTTCAAGCTGACCTCTAAACATGTTTTGTTCTCTCCTCCCCTCAACCTCACTTTGCCATTTCTACATGAAATTGTGCACTGAGATTTGGTAATCTCATACCTTTTTATCCAGTATAAATATGCACTGAAAATCACATTACTTGGGGCAGAAGAGGAATTAAGATCCAAATTGCATGCAAGACCAAAAAAGCCTCATATGCATAAGCCTTAGCTGAAATTCTTAGGGCCCCTGCAGTCTTTTCACATTCAAAAATTAACATCAAACATTTCAGTTGCAAATATGGTAGTGCAACTCGCTTTTTGTTCCAGGATTAGTAGTAACATATTGATATTTTGCCCATACTTTGCATCTTTTTAATTGGTGGTGGAAAGTTAGACATTTCATACTAGCCTTTTCAAATAAAATGCATGTTTACTAATATAATTTGAGATCCTTGGAGTTAACTTTCATATGTGGCAGGATGACAGGACTGGGGCATAAAGTTCATTTAAACCAGTGTACAGTCCTGAGTGGTCTTGTTTTACTTTGCTTATTGGATATTTTCCTAAAAACTAGGTTGCTATATCACTAGAGACAGATGAAATTCAGAAAATCCTTAATTTTATGATTCAGGGTGTGCATAATATTTCCTTTTTTTAAAGACTTTATTCTTAAACTGATAATGTCCCAGGCTGAGATGATATACACAGCTAAGCGAATACTTGCAACACATACATATCTTTCAGCATAAACATTGGATATGATCCACACTAATTTTACTCCAAACATATTTTGCTGAACTTTTTCAGATGCTGAATTCAGAGGAGTAGGGAGTGTTGTAAACATATTACATATAAATGTCATTAACTTGGGACCTGTATTTATCCCTTTCAACCAGAAGAACAGATGGAATGGGCAAAGGGGCAGTGACAGAGGTTTATGTGTAGGAAACAAATACCTTAGAGAAGGGCGTGCAGTTCTTTTCTCCACATCACGTTGTTCTGAGTACTGATATTTCACAGGAGATACCTTCTGTTTAGATTTGCTTGGCAGAGGGATGTTGGGTCCGGTGGGAGGTAAGTAGACCTGGGAGAGTGCACTGGCCACTCTCCAGCCCACATACTGGCAGGAGATTAAGGTCCTGGGAGATGATGGAGCATTTGCACTTGAACTAATAAAAGGATTTGCTGGACCATTTGCCTCAGCCTGTTGAATGAAGAAAAACTAAATTAAACCTACCACAATAAGCTGCCTGAAACAAGGTAATGGCAAAAATGATCTGGGATATAATTCATCTACAGAGAGAATTATAAATAAGGTACATAGTGTTTTTCTGTTTTCCATGGCTCACTTTGATTCAGTGCTTCTCCTCTGAGTCAGCATGTAGGGTGAGTTAAAGGAAATTTTAAAAGTACACTATAGATTATTTGATTACATTTATCGAACAAAATGATCCAAATAAAAACTTCATTTTTGTTCTATGGAAACCTCAATAGGTACTTCTCAGTTTTAATAAGCAAATACTTTACCAATTTAAATTTTACCTTTCTAATTTTTCATTTGATTAAAGATCTTTTTACAGAGCCTTGTGAAGGTATTTTGAATAACTCTCCAATCTTACAGACAGGCATTCTGCAAACTTTTAGGGACACAGTTTGAAATGTGTCCTGTAATTACATATTACAGTTTTGCATACCCACCCCCCAAGAGCATGAAAACAGGCAATTTTGTGCACACATGGGATACCAGAATTTGAGTATATGACACAAACGTGTAATTTAGTTTTATATATGCAGATAGAAGCACATGAAAAATACATTTGCTCAGTTTCAGAAACTTTGAACTTTGTCCCTCATTTAAATTGGACATTGTGTGTGCGCCTATGTACTGTTTTGATTGAATATCTGAGACTGTCCCTCAATCCAGAAGAATATTAGCTCTACTAGAGATAAATTACAAACTCTGAACAGAGAGAAGGTGGGTGAGGTAATATCTTTTATTGGCCCAGCTTGTCTCTCTTGCCAACAGAAATTGGTCCAATAAAAGATATTACCTCACTCACTTTGTCTCTGTAATATGCTAGGACTGCCATGACTACAACAACACTGCATACAAATTTGACATTTGGGAAAGGGGACAACAATATGTTTTTCTTACTTTTTTATACTTTAATAGTAAAACCCATGACCTACTAGTATCATGTTTCTGTTCCTGTTATCTTGTTTTGATAATGTCCTTTACTGTTTTTAATTACTTTTTTTCTCGGAAGATGTTTTAACTTAGAGATGCCCATAAGGCAGATTTTTCTCTGTCAGAATCTGCTTATAACCATTGGAGCTGTTAGCTTCAAAATGTCATACAATGTTATAATCAGTCACTTTATGTTCACAATTGCTCTTTCTTGAAAGTAAATAGGACATTGTGTGCTGTCTATTTTGTTCTAAAATACCAATGACTAACTATTTACTGAATGTTATAAATCTTGGTACAGGCCTTTTACTTCATTTTTATGCCTTCCAAGCCTTGCAATGGTAAACAGATGGAATAAAGAAAGCTTTTTTTTCAATGTCAATCATACTTCTTAGCATTACTGAAATCTGATGTTTAGGTAATATTTATTAATATCATTATGTAGGTACATTTGATCAATTAAGAAAGTAATGGTACAACTTGCTGCTTCATATTACTTCAGTTTGTAAACCTTTTAAAATTTTTATAGCAGCTTCTGCTAGTGTCACTACACAGTTATGGCAGCCAGCATTTCCATTATAAATCCTAGTTTTGTTTTTATTTTCCCCAAGCATCTATAACTGAGTAGTAAAAATTCATTCTTTGCAGAAACTCAGCATACAATTTCTCATCAGATTTGTCTATGCACAAATGTCTATTAAAATTGTCTTGGATGTCTTTAACATAGAAATGGGGAAAATACTATAGCACTTCAATATTTTTGACACTTTATGACCCCTTGTCTTTCCCCAATAGAAAAATTGTGAACATGTAACAATTGTACAGGAGCTGGCTTTCCCCAGTGAATAGAGAATGTGTTTACTCTCACTTACACCTTCTATTTCTTTTGGGTATATGAAAAAAGTAAGTACGCCTCTGGTTTTCAGCCTGTGGCAAACAGAGCTGCTGTAGATTTTCCCCCATGTTCATAAAGGAACTAATATGCAACCTCTTGCGTTAGGGTCAACATATTATGTTAGTCTCTCTGCCAGTGACTCACCCTTTCCCTGAAGGTGATTTCTGCACAACAAATTAAATTGTAAAAGGCTGATTTTCAATTTTTAAAACCAAAACAATTATTTTTGTTCACCTTGGTAGTTTTTCCAAGTCCTTTATGGAGCCCCTACTAAACTCTGTTACCCCTTCTGAAAGGCCTGTACAGTTAAAACAACCTGCTTTCTGGCATAAGAGACCTCTCCTCAGAACCCATAAGTGTTGCACTTTATGCTGAGAAAGCGAGTTGCTGAAGAGTGTTATAAACTAGTTTAGAAATGTCAGTGGCCATAATTCTCTGCTCCAAGCCATTTTTGTGTGTGCCACGGCTGTGGGGTGAAGGCACTAGAAAGCACTGAATCGTCTTCCACCATTAGGATGTCCACAGTGGTGAAGCCACTTTCTGTGCCATCCTCACAGTAGCCTCCACCAAAGCGGAAATGGGATGGTTATTGGGTTGGAAGGGGAAATGGGGCATTACTAGAATACAGCTTTTTTCCATCAACGTGGATGGCTCTTTGAAGCCACTGCATGGTTAGTCTAGAGCAGGGGTCTCCAAACTACAGCCCGCGGGCCGGATGCGGCCCGCGAGGCCCTCTCATCCAGCCCGTGGAGACCTTTTTGTCTGGCCCCGCCTTCTTCCGCGTGCCGGTGTGACGAGGCGACCCCCGCCCGTCCCTGGGGCGCCGCCGAACGGGCCCTTCTTGCCGCGGGGGGGGGCCCTGTCAGGGGTGTGCGGCGTGTACTCACGCCGCGCCGGGGCAGGAGAAGCGGGCCGCTCCGCTGACAAGCGGCCGCGCGGCGGCAAACGGCACAGGGAGCGGGGGTTAGCACGGGCGGCGTTCCCCCGCCCAGACTGACAGGGCAGCCGGCCAATCAGGGGGCAGGATGGGCGGTGGTGGTAACGCCCGCCCGGCGACGTGCGGGGGAACGTGAACCCCGGCGGGAACTTTAAAAAGGTGACCCCTTCCGCCCAGGGGGGGGGAAGGAGTGAGCAGTGGCAAGCAGGAGGGGAGGACAGCGTGCAGAGGAAGGGGAGAGCAGGGGGAAAAGCCCCCCCCCCCTCCGGGAGAAACGGATTCGCAGGCGAATATTCTGAAGAGGAAACATTAAAAGCAACAATCTCTCTACCATAAGTGGATATATTTGCACACTATATTCAGGTAAGTTTAACTTAAGAAATCATAAGAATTTTTAAAAATTGTTTCGGGTCATTTGCAGCTATTATTGCGACAAAATTAGTTCGCATAATCAGGTTTTTTGAGCGATATTGTGTGCAAGATACTTTCAGTTTCATTATTTATTCAATGTGTATCAATGTGTATCAATGTGTTATTAAATAATAACTGAATAAAATAATATTAAATAAATAATTAAAAACAACATCCATGTTTTGATTGTTTTTTATTTGGACCTCAAGTGTGTAGTCGGCCCCCGAACTGCTGTTTGATAGTTAATGCGGCCCTCGGGCTGAAAAGTTTGGAGACCCCTGGTCTAGAGCAAGTGGGGGCTTTCCTGATCTATGCCAAGGATCATAGTGCCCCCAAGTGGCAAGAGAAGTAAGGGAACCCACAACTGCCCTGCCCAAAGTTGCATCCAGTAACTATCACGCACAGTGAAGGATGGAGGCCTCCGACTTTGTAAGGCAGCCTAAAAATGAAAAACTTTAAATGACTGACATCTATTTCAGTAAACAACAATTTCCTACAACACAAAAGGGGGCTATATGGCAATGAATCCATGAGGCTGGCTCTGTCATTCTAGAAAGTTATTTATCTTTTGTTCTTTCTATACCCATTGCTATCATGTAATTCAGTGGCATAAAACATATACAAGTCAAGCTTTTATAAAAGAGGGCTACACAAAATATTAATATGGCATAAATGGCAAGAATAAAGTCAGTTGTATATATGAGGCGTCAGAGAGAAAAAGAAGAAAAAAAACCTTTCAGTATTTCAGTTTTTATAGCAGATGGTAGAAAGTACTTAGACATGATGACTCTTCCTAGATGTGCCAGCATATGCCTCAGAATTGCCTGTACAGTAAAGCCCTGCTCATTGCAAATCTCCCAGGAACTATCACAATCAAAGCACATCAATTAACATTTGCTTATTATGCTAGTGTGTGTATATGGCAATTTTGTATTTTCCTCTCATACATTAGGTTCACATTTTAGTCAGGATTACTGATTTGCCAGGTGAAGGTCTCAGCACTTAGACTTCTGTTTCTGCTTCTCTGTAAATATCTGCATTTATTTCTGGACTGTGAGTTCCAATGCACATATTTAAGTCTTGTTAGCAAATGCACACCCATAGCATGATGCCGATTTCACTGGAACAAATCTGGAAGTTTGAGAAGCATTGCTAAGGTTGGACACATCTGGTGTGCTCAGATCTGTAATCTCACGTGCACCCTACGGGAAGGTGAATTTTTCAAAAGGGGTGCTCTGCTAAATCAGCCACTTCGACTCATAATAACAAGTACCTGAGACACAAGTGGGTTGCACTTGCCACATGGGGATAATAGAAGCATGGCTTTGCAAATTATCCAGCAGATAATTTTAAAAGGACATCACTGCGTCCCAAAGGGCTAGTGTAGCCCCAGAAGTGTGCAACAGAAACTGCACTTCTAAGCTCCGGTCTACATTAGGAGTTTATTTCTAAATAACCCTCCTCCTCCAAGGTCGATTTTATAAGCAGAAAGCCCACACTACCAAGCGCATTATTTTGAAATAACGGGCCATGGAATTCGAAATCTGTACTCCTGCTTTTCTTCAGGAGTAACACTAATTCTGACATAGTTATTTCAAAATAGCGGTAGTATGGAAGCTCTGGTACCACTATTTTGGAATAATTACTCCCTAGAGTAATTCAAACTTATTACTCCCCAGTGCTTCCTGGGGCTCCAAGTCCGAGGCAGCGCATTCACATTAACGGAACCTGCCTCAGACTAGTTTCAAGGCTGTGGACATTCTAGTTCTAATT